ACTGGTGCTACGATGGTGTAAAAGTGTTTAGCTGATTCGAGGAGCCTGGGTGTTAGTACCAGATATTTACAATTTCAATTTATTTTGAGTTCTAGGTTTGCATCTAGGTCAAAAAGCAACTTTGCGGCTTATATGTTAATATTCGGGAAAAAATAAGAGAAAAAAACGGAACATTATCAGGGCCGGACTTAGGGGATGGCCACGTAGCGGCAAAATTCAGGGGGTGGCAAATTTGGAAATTGTTTTAAATGAGGGTATCAAAAAAGGGGGAGAAAAATCGGATTCAGAGAATGAATTACGAACGAGAAAACGCAAAAAACTCTCATCTCCAGATAGTGAGATTATAGTAATTTCTAATTTGGTCGTCTTCCGGTGATACAAGAGACAGCACCTTTAGTCGAGTCTTGAGAGAAATCGAACACGCAGTTTCGCATCGAGCGTCGTGGTGCAGAGAGCAATGACGACGAAGACTTGAGATGAAAAGAAGAAGCCCTCGGCGCGGCGGTTGGCATAAAACACATATTAACGTCTACAAGACTCCATGAATACTTCACGCATTGCGTCAAACAATGTTCAAGCAGCCAGCGGTCGGCGTGAAACGCATAGCGCCTACAAGACTGTAGGAACACTTTACGCATTGCGCCAAACACAAAGTGGTCGGCGCGGCGGCGGAAGTGAATTGATTATTACATACCACATTTATGTTCGTTCTTTCATAATTGTCTCGTTAATTTCTTATAAATGGAAGACCTTGTCGACACAGAGATAGGTTAACGGAACAACGGAACTTAAATTTCGCGCAAAGTTCCGTGAACTTTTGCTAGTGTTGACAGGGCTTTCACAAAAAATGTGCCCGACACGGATAAACGCGTCTTATGCGCCCCCCTCCCCCGGGCACGTTCACTTGGTGGTTTTTGTTGATGTCACAAAACGAATGAGAATAGGGCGGCAAAATACATAGCGACGGTGCAAGTCGGCAATCACATAACTCGTTTGCGGTGTCTGAAAATCTCCGTAACTATGTTATTTTTTTAAAGGAGAACAAATGGACATGATTCCTTGCAGTTTTTGCAGAATTTTCCTCGCACATAGAAGAAAAATCACGGCAGTTTTAAGTAATTACCGTTGAGTAGTTTTCCGTTTGAAGAATAAAGTATGACAGGAAGTCTGCGACGTCGCAAATCGAGTTATGTGATTGCCGACTTTCACCGTCGAGAGGGCCCACGGGCGGCAAGTACGTACATCCGGCCCTGAACCTTATTTCAATTAATTATGGTGTTTAGAGATTTCTGCCGTCATTTTAAAATTATTAGAGAGAATTACTCAATATTTTTGCTTAAAATTTTCGAAGAATATTACTTTATTGAAAGTCGGGAGAATGAAAAATATGCCTCCAGTGTGGGCGGCGAAGTATCACCAGAAACTGAAGGCGTTTTCGACTGGTGAAAATAGTTTGTCGTGTTTCCCAAATTAAAGTAAACTTTTTTCACTGAATTCATCATTGGGATTTTGAAAGTTTAAAACGACGTGCATGCTGCATTGAAAAAAAACGCCGTCCCTTTTTCCATGGATGACCACATGCGACTGGCAACGTTGCGCACCTTCTCCGCGCGTTCTTTTATCTCCCTCTCTCCCTTCTCTTCGGGGAAATTTAAGAGTTTTATCCGATACTCGAGGCTCCTCTTTGTCTCTCCTCTTTGCCATTTCACTATTCTGCCGTGCTAAGGAAGAACGCCGTACGAGCCATCAGGTGTTGCCAAATTTCCTTCGACAAATCACGAATTTTCCGGGCAATTTGGGAATATTTCTCTTCCGACTTTTCAGAGGATTTCGTTCGTAATTTGATCTGGGAAGTTTGAAAATTTCGAGGAAAAATATCCGTAACTTTCTTCAAAAATAAGTATCTTGTGAGAGGAAATTTGGCAACATTCGAATGTTCACGCGGCGTTTTTCCTTAGCGCGGCAGTATTTTCTCCGGCACTTTCTCTTTTCGTCGAGGGAGAGCGTCGAGGAGCCCTTGTCGAGGGCCCTTCAGAGGAGTCGAGCCAGATGATGAAGTGAAATATTTTGTGACTAACAATCTGAGTCTCCTGGAGGTGGCTTAGTGCTTCAGATACGGAGGAATCAATGTCCCTTTCTGAATCCCTGCGCCCGACAAGGGATGGAATGAAGTGTCCCTAGCGGAGTCGATCGTTATGATATTGTAATAATGTAAAAAGCTTGATTCTCACCAACATCTAGATCTCATTTTATAGGATCTTGAGGGAAACAAGATTACGGCTCCGTATCGCCCTGGTAAAAATTGGCAGTAGAATTTGTGTTCCAAAATACCATAGACCTACAGCCGGCTGTAAGATTTCCAATAGCTTCTATAGCCGGCCACACAATTTCCTATAGCCTTTTATATCCGATGGCGATTAAGCAACAGCCAGGCGATAAAGTGTACGCTGAATGTTACTTATTACGGATGCTAGGACTTGGTGAGTTTTTGGAATACTGCTCTCTTTTTGGGCCGTAGTATCTTGATTCATTTTGCGAGGAAAGCTCCGTACTTTTGATGGATGCCTGCCATTACTAATATATTAGAGTGCCTTCAGTTTCGTATGATACTGTGCAATACCTCTGGTGTGAAATAGTTGCTTCAAGCGCCGTGGCAGGCGGGCAGCCAGCGCGAAACACGCATTGGCGCCTACAAACCTAACAAGGATACTTCACGCGTTGCGCAATGCGTGAAGTATCCCTGTTAGGTTTGTAGGCGCCAGTGCGTCGCCGCTCCGCTTTGTGTTAGGCTCTAATATTTAATCTGGCGGAGTCAGCGTTATTCAACTCATGATTTTGAAATGTTTGCACATCCTGCATGGATTATTCTCGTTTTAATTGATGACAAAAAATATGTATTAAAGGAAAACATAATGTGTGTTTTGTAAATATTAAGGTGCTTCCATGTCAAACTTAATGATTTCCAAAGCACACGAATTTCTACACAATTCCTTATAGCCTTTTATAATCGATGGCGAAAAAGCCACAGCCAGGCGATAGGAACTATAGCCCGGCTGCATAATTTTTTATCGTTTCGTAAACCCCGGCCGTGTGATTTTCTCCGCATTCTACAGCCAGCTAGGTATATGATTTTCTGTAGCCTTCTTTAGCCGGCTATAAGTATTCCTATGGTATTTTGAAACGCAGCTCTTATTACCAATTTTTACCAGAGGTTCCACGTGATACTCAACGCGTCGCCGCACGGTGGGTCGAGTCAATAGGAGAGGTCGGATAAAATTTGGAAACTTTAAACGCTTTTAACTCCGTTTGGACAAAACTTTAAGGTTCTAAAGGCGGTTCCATTGGTTTTCCCGTGAAATTTTCTTCTATAAGCACCCCTTGAACTTTAGAATGTGACAAATGAACCATTAAAATTTGCAGTTTTGGTCAAAATTTTCATGTCCGACCTCTCCTATTGACTGGACCAACTGTGCACCAGTCGTCCCCGGCCCTCACCCAAATCCACCTTTGAACGAATGGCGTAGCGTGCTTTGCGATGATATATCCATTGATCTGCCATTTACACCTATGGAGCGTATATCGACCGACCGTTCTCTTAATCAAATTTTGACCATATTTTCATCGAATTCAAAAGAAGTTCTTCGTAGTCCTTTAGGCACAAAATTTCTTGAAAATTGTTAGAAATGCATGAAAACTGCATCTGTCTACTGCAAAAGCCATGGTGACTATATTCGATCCTTTGAAACTGTTTCCTAGACTAGTTTAATGAGGGATTCGAGATTATTGTAAGTATATAATGTCATTCTGCGTTCTAGTAATTTTAGAATTTGTGACAAACACCGAATACAGTTTCTGTGGGCTTAAGGTGATTTGATTATCGATATAGCGATATATCGCATCAATTGGCTCCATTTTTTCAGCTACTCGTCATTTTTCTCGAATTTTAAGATCGCAATTCTGTTTTCAGGAGACTAAAGAATTCACTTACCAATTTTGACAAACAGATTTACCGTGATACAGGCGTGTTTTTTTTTAGAGAGAAAATATCGCATTCGAGTGCAGTCTCGATATCAGTATCAAATGCGACATTTTTTCTCTAAAAAAAACCACACCTTTTTTACGTTGAATTTGTTCGTCAAAATTGGTAAGTGAATTTTTAAGTCTCCTGACGACAGAATTGCGATCTCAAATTCGAGAAGAATGACAAGTAGCTGAGGAAATTGAACCAATCGATGCTATATATCGCATCAATTGGCTCCATTTTTTCAGCTACTCGTCATTTTTCTCCAATTTTGAGATTGCAATTCTGTTGTCAGGAGACTAAAGCCCTCCCTTACCAATTTTAACAAAGAAATTCAACGTAATAAAGGCGTGGTTTTTTTAGGGAGAAAGTATCGCATTTGAGTGCAGTATCGATATCAGTATCGAATGCGATGTTTTCCCACTGAAAAAACCACGCCTTTATTACGTTGAATTTCTTTGTTAAAATTGGTAAGTGCACTCACTTTTGTCTCCTGACAACAGAAATGCGATCTCAAAATTGGAGAAAAATGACGAGTAGCTGAAAAATTGGAACCAATTGATGAGATATCGCATGCCGTTCTGACACAAAATATGGCGTCCACCGAATCCTCGAAAAACATTACAAATTATTTTCTAACAATTATATCAACAGTGAAACTCCCGAAGTCAATTACCTATCTCATTTGCAGAGTTGAAAAACTCTGTTCCTACTTTGTCGTTTTAAAGGAGCAGAAATCAACATCATTCAAAGTTTCTTTAAGTTTGCTTGGCCCAGAAAAAGGAATAGAAGGGAAGTTTTTCAAGACTGCTATCAAGTAGTTTTCTGTTTAAGAAGAAAAGTATAACAGGAAGTCTTCAATGTTGAAAACCGAGCTACGAGGTTTATAGTTTTACGGTCAATATTTAAGATCATGCACTCCAAGCAATGATTAAAATAAAATATTGTTCGAGAATGGTAAGAGAATAAACTTTCTAGATTTGATAACATGATCTATTTTTATTTGACAGAGAAATGTTTAAATTTTGAAAAGCACATTCATTGTTACAGCTATTTACAAAACTAAAAATTAGTTTAGAAGAGACAAAGATAGATAAACTTACTGCAAATGCATTGAACCAAGTCAGAGAACACTGTATAACCTTTGAAAGTGTTTAACAGACAGTTCAAAAACAACAAACAAACAGCTTAAACTGTTAAAAACATGTAATAAAGTAAACAATGTCATTATTTCTTTCTTTTATCAGTAATAATACTGCGAGATTTTGAACTGTTAGGAACAAAATAAATCATTGACAAGTAGGCTTTCACTGGTTGTAAAAAGAACTGGCTCAAGCAGAGATGACTAAATTTTTTGTCTTTTCCATAATGACCGGAAATTTATTTTAGTTGCATTTCAGATATGCATTTTTAGAATTTAGCATACATTTTTCCTTCAAAATTTTCAAAAAATTTCCATTTCAAAATTTCCTTTTTTGACTTTGGAATTATTCTCATTTGAAACTGTATCACTCATATTTTTTGTCTTAACGCCAAAAATGGTACTACCATTTCAATCAGACGTTGAAAACTATTTTTAAAATACTAAGTGCCTTTCCTGGTCTACCTTCAATGATACGATTATTAAACTCTCTTATTATCTGATAGTATTTCAAGCATATTTCCTGAATTTTCTTATCAATGATCTGCGAAAAAAAGAGGATGAATTTAAAAGGATACAAGCCAGTTTTGTAGCATTAGCTTTTCGCTCAAAACGAATGTAATTTAACATGGAGTCAGAAAAAAAATTCTCCTCCATAAAATGAAAACCATTCATGCCTCTTGAACAGATGTGGATTTGATCCTTTAAATTTGGCACAGCACATGCTATTACTATCTTGCAAAACATAGTAGCTTAAAGAAGAAATAGCCAGTCTAGGAGTAACTTCACGTGATTGAAACGGAGAAATTTTTAAAAGGCAATGTTTTAATGTGACCCAATTAAACATTAACTTTTTGACCAAAAAATTCAAATCCACATCTATTTGACAGGCACGTTCTTAAAATGATAAATGTATTAATGCCTTGTATAGCTATTAAATTATTACACATTTAAAAGAAATTTAGTGCAGTAGTGCCCCGAGTATCCAACGATTAGTGGAGAAGGCCATGTCAGATATCAAAAAAGTCAAATAATCGAAACCATCAAAAAAAGACTGAGGACATGACCAAAAACTTAATTTTGACTACTCTAGATGACTGAAGCTTTAGATAATTGATGGTAGGATAATCAGGGCATTACTTTACTTACAATCACCGAGGAGGAACTTGAACAAAAAATATCATATTGATATTCTCAACGCCAAGTGAAACAGATTAACTTACAACTGGTTGAAAGAAGGGATCGATGATAGAAACAAATAGCATAAAGTAGATTTTAGCTTCGATAGTTCAAGAATTATACTCTGTGTAAACAAACAATTGAGGTTATTAGCCTTTACTTATTTAGGTAATAACTAAGCTAACACAGATATAGCAAAATCTTTAAAGATTGATTAGAGCTTAAATTAATTCTTGCCCTTCACTGAAATTAAGTACTAAGTAACTCACAGGATTGAATAGGCAACACTTCAAAATAGGAGATTAGTGTATAGACAATTTACTCAAATACGTTTCCACCCACTTTTTTAATGTAAAAATGGCCAGAATCGATAGGAATAGAAATATCAGTCCGCAACCACCAAAATTCTAATAGAGGCAAATTCTTAACCAGAATATTTGTAATAATATTAGATTAACTAAATTTTTTCCTCACCTTCATGTATAATTGAGGAAGCTTTCTAACCACAAAATTTGCGGAACATATGCCCCTATGTGGATGGAAAGATTTGAGGAAGAATTTTGATCTCAGCTCTCCATTATTTTGTCGTGGAATGACATTTCAAAAGTCAGACGGCCCTAAAAACAACTTCAGAGAAGGGCTTGGATTTTCTTTTCTTTTCAAAAAGTAAAAGTCATTTTATGTGATATTCATACAAAACGGCCCATTGTTTGATATTAAATGTCTCGATTTTAGTGCTGTTAATGAGTGTGCAACCATTATCCCTTCCTATTAGTTTCCAGTGCATGTCTCAAAGTAAAGGGCACATTGGCTCTACTTAAAACTGTTGGTCTAGAAGAATCTGGCACAATAGTATGTATACTTAGACAGAAAAATAAGGAGGATAACATTGCTACTTAAAAAAAAAAAGATGATTTGAGACAATTATAAGAAACAACAACCACTCAATAGGATTATTTTGGTTGGAGGATTGAAGTAAACTAGGGAAATAAATTTCACAAAATGCATCAATAATTACAAGTTAAATTTCCGACGTTATAAATGCACTCCAGTCAAGGGGTCCGTGGGGGAGAACTAATCTGCCTTCTGAGTGTGAAAACAGGAGTCAGAAATTGCGCAAACAAAATCTGATGGAAATACTAATGGAAAAAATGAATACACAGATGAAACCTGAGGACTGAACACTTGAAAATTATTTTCTCCTTCTAATTTTACCTAGTAACGTGATTTTTATCTATCCTGCATAAGTAAAAGAATATTTATAAACGTAAAAGTATTTTATTTCAATCCAAATGTTTCGATTACTTTTGACACAAAACCCAGGAAACTGAATCACAACGAGCAAAGTTCCTCCTTATTTTTAACCGTTTTTTCCTTCCCTCAAATTGACTGACAATTGAGGAATGCGCTTTTTTTAACTTTAACAGCAAAGTGTGGCAGAATTTTATTGGATTCATGTAAAAAGCTCAAAACACTTGGAGGAAAAAGATCATTTTCCATAACAAATAAACAAATAAATTAAATTACGCTTTGCAAGAAAATGCACTTATCTACGGGTACAATATTATTGCTGCTGTAAGATATTAACATGACAACTTCAACAATAGTTAGAAACATAAGCCAACAATAATGAGTAATAAGATTCAACTGAAAGACTTCAGTACACAATGATTAGTGAAAGCTTGAAGATACAAGACATTCAGAATAAGAGGAGAAAGCTTGACATGTTTGAAGGCAAATCTTTGGGATGTTGTACCATTTCTAAGCCTTAAAAAAGAGTGCCGCTATGGCCAACAATCACACAGTTGTCAAAGAATTTGCCGCTAATTTTTTTATACATCACTGGCATTTTCATTCGCTTACTCTCTACTTTCTTATTTTTAGTGTCCTTTTAAGTACTAAATAATATACTGAGGACGAAAACAATCAATTAAAAAAGAATTGAATCTCTGGACAACAATCGCAAGATAAAAGGGTCAACATAATTCAGTGTCGATGTAACATAATGAAATACAAGAGGCTCGGAAGAATAGTCTTTTGCCCATACCACAATCATACAAAAAATCTACATTTTTCTTTGCATTAAGCGGAGAAAAACCTCTGTGAATTGACAAAGTGCCTCCGTTTCCTTTTCCCTTTTTCTTAAAATAAAATAATCACTGTACATATATATACTAGTTTTCTGACTGACAAAGACTGAGTGCCAGTCCTGCACCACGAAATTGATAAATTTTGAATTGATTTAATAACAATCGGGGGTTGTTAATGACGCTGAACCCTAGTTATTTTTCAACAATGGGAAAATTAACATGTTTATTCCCTGAAAATCACAGCGTTTTAATATTTTCAACCTACCTCAGGAAAATTGATATCATCTCACAGACCAGACCAAAATCGATCAGACCAGATACGATGATTCCGACAAAAATGAAGAAGCTGAACTGAAATCGATGGGTAAGTTGACACTGAGAGGATACAAAAAGGGTACATCTTTAAATCAATAAACGCGACAAGTAAGAATCAAGTAAGAAAATAAATTAAATTAACTTCAACTACAATCTAAATTCATGCCTTTTTCCGTTCCGACTTTTTACAAACAATTCTCTTGTAACGTTAACAAAATAGATACTTTTCTCAATCTCCCAAATTGATAAAAATAAATTACTTTAAAATTTACACTCTATAACTTTCAGAAGCTCAATTAAACCAAAATTTTCAAAAAATTTAAAAAAAAAAGCTGCAAGTATGTGACCATTTGCCTTAATTTTTCATTCAGGCAACTCAACAGAGAGCACAGCTCTATTTCTAAGGATGACATACAGCTGAATTCACCACCATCTCCTCTAAAATTTAACTAAATTTGAGAAAAATTTAAAAATTCATTGTAATACGACCAAAATGAAAATGCCCTTCACTATGAAGCTTGAAACATCCAGCAGAGGAAAACAGAACCGAATGAGTAGGTGATTGAATATTTTATTTAAGGTTTATGAGAACTGACCGCTAACCATATTTTGCATCAGTTGCTTGTGTTAATGGTGTCAGTTGCTAACTACATAATAAGATAACATACAATTCACAAATACCACTTAATTAAAAGGATGTTGGTAATTTTTAGTGTAGTTCAAATATAGAGAATCGTTTTAACTTTTGATCATAGGACATGAGTAGCCAACAAGGGTAGTTTCCAAAACTTAAGTACAAGTTTCAGGGAAGTCATCGCTGCATAGCTGGGAGGCACTACAAGTTTCAAAAGAAAGTGCTCAAATCAGAACACAAAGGAAAAAAATAGAATGAGGCCAAGTGAAACAGAAGGTATCAAGTAAATGAGGAATATGGTAATTCCACTGATAAAATATGAATGAGACGAGAGAATAGATAAATTATAAAATTAAAATCTAAATGAAAAATACATAAAATAATGTTGGGTACAAACAATTCGACAGAACAAGATACAATCATATCTTGTTATAACGTTTTCAGAGGAAAAGTAAAGTAAAACGTTTCCCAAAAAACGTTATTCTGAGAAACACTAAAATTAGAGGTGACTGACCGGGACCTGATAAAATGAGCCTTGTTCCTAGGAAAACGTTATTTTAGGAAACTTTATATCGAGATACAACTGCAGAAACAATTGCTACAGTGAAAAGTAGATTAGAGTGAAAAAAGATAAAATAAATCAAAGTCAAATAGGAGCGTAAATGTAAAAACTAAACTATAGACAAAAAAGGACTTTACGATTGGTTTAAGATTGTTTCATGGTGCTATTCGTACCTACAGATTGGTATTGGTCAGAGTAAGAAATCAAGAATTATGACTACAAATGATAAAAAACGTAATTTAATTTTCTAAAATATAGTAACTTGAGAAAAGTAACTAAAAATTCATTCGTTTTTGAGAAAATTCACTAAGGAAAATTAATATATATTATTAAGTAAATAAGTCAAATAAGATTTATACAATGGCGAACAGAAAAAACAAATAATAAAACATAAATAAATAATAAATAAAGAAAAATTAAATCTTACAAGCCCTAAAAAAAAAAAAAGGTTTGGAGAGATGCCTCATCCAAAAATTGTATTTAGGAGAAATGATAGTAAACGATAACCTATAAAAGCTGATACTCTCTGAGCCCATATGAAGATTGTAACAGTTTCAGTTAGACATGAGATTACTGGAACCCAAAAGATGCAAAACAAATAACTTTGATACCTGCTTAGCAATAAAATTAGAATAACAGAGCTCGAAAACAAAACGAAAAAAAAAGGTAAATAATGATATGAATTACAGTGCAATCAAGTTGGCAAACTAATCTTTGTTTTTTTATAATTCTTAGAAAAAGATGTACTCAGAGTACACATTCCCTATGCACAGAAACAGACACTGCCTACTTTTAAAAGGTGGTGCATTAAAATGTTAAATGACAATGGAGTTGAGATGAAATTTGACAATGCGCTAGCACTAATTGAAAACGTGAAATCTTGACTTTTCGTACATAGAGAATAATATAAAGTGAGTACTGATGATAAATATCCTTTCTGCAGAAAAATAAAATCTTTGCAACAGTATCTTAGGGCTTCCTCCATCTAATGGACTCCCCTGCCAAAATGAAAGAAAAATCTACAGCAAATATGAGTGCGTGATGAGTTTTTGATTTTTTTCCATTGGACTTTTCCTCAAAATGAGACCACAAATCTTCTTTATTTAATGTGAATAAGATCAACAAAGACAGAGAAAATTAGGAAGCTGCCAGTTCTCGAAAAGACCAAACCTTAGTTGAACTAAATTAAATAAGTTATCTTAAGACATAGATTACCGAGGCTGATGGCAAATCTAGCAACAAAACCTCACACCATTGTGAAGTGAAATATAGTACAGTGTAATAGAATAAATCATAGAAAAATTGAACTTTCTACGAGAATTCACTTATCTATGTGATAGACTTTCAAAAAAACTCACGGGCTAAAATTTGAGACTAAGTTCAACAGGGTAAGAGCAGAAAAAGAACAAATTCACAACAAGGGAAAATGCAACGGTGAGACACAAAAATAGTCACTTACGTGAACTAAGTATAGTAACAATAAAAGATCAAAGACATACAGGTGAACTGGCATTTTAATGCTCAGTGTTCGCAATAATTAGTGATGCTAACATTAAAAATTAAATGTACATTAAATGCACCGATAACTGATTGATTATCTTGATTTGAGAGGGGAAGCTCCTGGTAACACACACTGTAGGAGACAAAAAATGGCCCTTAACGTAGAATGCTCAGAAAATTTTAACTCTTACAGCACTAACCTTTATCTCAGGCATAATCTCAGCCTTACATTTGGGCAAAACTGCAGTTTGAGGAGAAGAGTGGGGGAAAATAAAAAAAAATTGAATAATTTAACTTGAAAAGGAAAAAAATAGCAAAACATTGAACGACATAAGTGTCATCTGATACTTGATTTTCAATCTCATCATGAAAATCTACATTAGAAGAAGTGAGCTGACAGTATAGCATGGCAGGCTCCTAATTTTGGCAGATCTGTTTTAAATGCTGGAAGTCGAAACATTTTGTCGGATCCTATACGAAGGACAGTTTCTCGATTGCGCTGTTTCAATAATGCTTACTTACATTTTAATTAGTCATAGGAGAACGATCAAGTAAATTTTCCTGCAAATTCTAAGGATCTTTCTTCACTATTGTGAGAAAAAAAACTCTGAAATTTTCAGACTACATAATTTGTTTGACAGTTCTATCATGAGAAGATAAAATGTTCGCAAAAATGCTGAAACAGCACAGGAAAACATTTTCCCTGCAGGAGAAGACGATTTGTGAATTTGCGTTTAATAGTAACATTCAATTGGAGACGGCTTCGATCTTTCTGGATGCGTCTCTGAAAATGTGGAGAATTTAGGATATTTTTTAACGCATCTGGTGAAATTGAGGAGAGAATAATTTTTTTGCACCCATTTTTTAGGATAATCCTGGTGGAATAAACCGTAAAGCAAATACGGTGAAAAAATTTCCAGGTAAAAACAGAGCAGCATGCCTCATTCGATCACTTTGCCTTCAGTCAATAAAGCAGTCCATAAACCATTGTTCAGTTGATTAACTAGAATACTTCGGAACTGTATATTTACGAAATGAAACTTCTGAGATCAAACCAGGGGAAAACCTGCCATAACTACCCTATGAACTTCCTCAATTAAAAAGCTGACCAATTCTTTCCTTTGAAATTCAAGCAGAAGATTAAACGCTGTTGTGTAAGAGAGAGATGTATAAAGAGATGTAACAATTTATCAATTTCAAAAAATCAGGAGTTGAACTGCACTGCTCGCAAGTAACATAAACCACAGGAGAGGAAACAGTTTTACCCAATATTTTCTTGATTTATTCTTGGAGTGAGTGCTTAAACTGAAGAAGCAAAAGTAAGTTCATCAGCAGTTGTCACAATAAGAGCAGATTGATTGAACGGGCACTTAGATAAAGAATGAACCAAAGACAAAGAGTGTGCCTGCCTGAGGAGCTTGAAAGGTTGATTAAGTTACGAGTAACAGGAAAAGTGGTACCCTGCTTCTGGTGAAAAGCCTTCAGGTAGAATAAGTGGATTGCAAAATGACTCAACCTGAAACACAAATTTTTATTAATTATAATGAGAATTCATAGGCAAATAAAAGATATTATTCAGTCCTGGGTCGCAGATTCTTCCAATAATTTCTCAATTTAGAGACCAAGTATATCCTTGTACTCAGTCAACTTGGTAGTTCTCACTAAAACATGAGATTCATCAAATTTTAGACACATGCAAATTCTCTATCGAAATAATCTTACAAAAATGACACACAGCAAGTGACATTGGAAACTTCCCACAAAAGCAAAGTGATGACCTTTATATGGACGTATTTCTGCTAAACGGAACCAGAGACAGGTGGGAAAGGAAGGGTTTGCTCGTTAGTCGAGGGCAATAAGAATGAATGGGAATTATAAAGCGCCAGTGACGTCGGCGGCGGCGATGGGAGCCATGACACCCGGCAACGCGGTCTGTAACATATGTGCCCTGTCCACAACGCTCTTTTCTCATTTTCATGATTCACGAGTGCCGCTTACAGTTGGCGCTTGGTTCCATTTGGTAGAATCTAAAATCCCGCTTTTCCATTTCCCCAAAGGATAATGCGCCCAATTTTGCATTGTTTCTCATCTAGATTTCTAGAGCACATCTTTCCCACTAGCCTATAGATCCTTTTAGCAGAAATGAGTCCATTTTAGGAGTTTAGACATTCAATTTGAAGATTTTATTCAAGAATTCAGGAAATCACCGATTGAGAAATGCAGCTTTGACAGAAGCAGTGCTGATTCACAACAGACAGTCAACAATTAGAGACTTTCCTTACCTTCCGTACAACAGAAATTTTAAAAAAAGAAGCAAAATTACTTCAATATACACAGGAGTATAAAAATAAAACTAATGATAAAATTAAATGAGAAGCAAGCTAAGGAATAAGAAATACCTAATCCTCCTTAACAACACTTAAAGAGTAAAATTTGAAGTTACGAACTGGACTGTTGTGGAAGGCAACTTGTTCAAGAACTAGGGGACCCCTCTGACTGCTGCGGAGCTCAATCCCCGCAGCGAACATTCTTCACCCTTGGAGGACCGCTTGGTGAAAGTAAAAACTAAGGTTATAATTAAGAAATTTGAAGACAGCAGGCACATCAATAAATTACAATTTCCTGATGGTGGAAAAAACTTGGAAATCGACCTGGTAAATCTATAGATTTAGTTCTGACAAATTATGATATTTAAGGTATCTGAGATGTTATTGTGGATAGAGACGAAGGAGTTACAAATTGTAAATCTTAAATACAAATTCACTGAGATTGTAAGAAAGATAATATTTCACTGATGTTCTTCCTGGCCCTAACAAGGACTCTTGAGTCTAAGAACTTTAATAAGTTAGGAACATTACAGATCGATCTTATCCAAGATATAAACACCACAGAAAGTTGCCATCACCAAGTCTTAAAATATGAGCTTACAATAAGACATCAAAGACTCTGGTCCTGACTCAAATGTAAAATGATAGTGTTGCATCTAGATACTGCTGAGATAAGGATATTATCACTGCATATTTCTATGATTGATTGATTGATTATGCCGAAGCTTCCAGCATACGATTCGATATATAAGTCCAACATGTTGTTCTCTGCCAGTATTCCGTGAAGAAAAGAATCAAAAGTTTGAAATTAAAGATGAATAGAGTGTGTTTAATTCGAGTATCCTTCATCTTAGCATAATAGCAGAGGGGTGTGGTTGCGGGTGGGAGTTTTAATATTGAGGTCATGATTTTTAAATATGTTGCGATTACGAGTTTTTGTATTGCCATTACGGATTTTAACATATGGACTGTTTATTTCCCAAAGAAGTATTTAAATTTTTGGTGAAAAGTGAAAATCGAAAATCATTCATGGCTGAAAAGGACTTTGGTAAAATTCCAGTATTTGATGGAAATAATTATGTGAACTGGAGGTATCGTTCAATTGCTTATCTGGAAGCGAAAGAATGTGCAAAAGTAATAAATGGTGACATCAAACCAGACACAAAAACTAATGAAGCTTGGAAAATAAAGATGTACGAAACCAAGAATTTGCTACAAAGTGATTCTGAACTAGAAATTAGTAAGGATAAAGTGTCGGCTTACGCAATGCTGCATAAGTTTAATTCCTTGTATACTGTGCAAGATATTCAAAAGAAACTGCATACTCAAAAACAGTTGCTAAATCTCAAATTTCAAGAAAATATAGATCCAAATGAGTTTTTCACTTGTTTCAAGAAACACATAAGTTACTTATAATCAGCAGGTAAAGTTCTGTCAGAACAATCAAAACTAACTTATTTTCTATTAGCCCTTCCACCAAGTATGAGTTCAATAGTGGAAACAATAAATGCTACACCTGCCAACAATTAACAAAAATGTCACATATCTGAAACTCAAGATAAAATTAATGTAAGAGTTGTCACTCAATGCAACCAACTTGTATCCCCAGTCAGAATAATGTGTCAAGAGTCAAAAGCAAACTCAAAATCAAGATGGACAGTCACAAGGAGGCGCATAGCAACAAAAATTGTTGCTTTCAGTCACAACTTATAGATGCTGTGTGGCTAAATGTAACAATTAAAATTAAGTGTGGCTAAATGCAACAAATTTACTTTATTTTATTCTTGACTGAATTTTTAGAATGCTTCATTTATTAATATTTTGCCTCAGAGACAGAGGATGATCATGCGCATAAAAATCGACACTTTATGAAGAACTAAATCGAACTTCTAATGTAACCTAATTTAATCTACCCTAACATAACACTAAAGTCGCTAATAAAGTCGCGAACGTCATCCTAAGGTCACTAAGGTAATCCTAAGGTCGCTAAATTGTCGCTGACATTTCGAACATGGTGATCTTTCTTCTTCCAAATGCTTCCAGTTATCATTAATTTTGAATGAACCAATTGAGGAGGGTTCCGGAAAAAAGGCCCATGGGCGTATGGGCCCTTTTTCCGGAGAACGCATTAATGGATTGCCCGTGCCCTAAACTATATGTGCCTAAAGTTTCGTATCGATTCGCCAATTTTTAAAGCCACACGACCATTTTTCCGGGCGTGGGATTTCCACTAAATACCTTTATGAACGGGGTACCTATCATCTAGAATATATGACGCGAGACCCGAGCGGCCCCGGCCAGCAGATAGCGATCCGACTGATAACAGCCCCTCTTTGTACATCGAATGCACTGATCACTAGCTGCAATCAGTAAATGCAGATTTCCGTGTTAATCAAGATGTCAACAGTGGCACCCACAAATAATAACACGCAGAATAATATTAATAATATTAGTGTGTGTCAGAGGATTTCTCTTCCTTTTTCGCGAAGTTATTTCGTGTTGTTCGTCTCTATTCGTTGATGATATTTTCGCAATGTCCGAGAGTGGTAGTAACATTGTAAATAATGATAGATTAAAGCGTCATAAAAGTAAAAAAATAAACAGGTTAACACAGGTAACAGGTAACAGGTAAAAAACAAACAGAGTAAAGGCATCTGCCAAATTAAAAAGACTGCATGGTCACGTTACCAAACTTTATCCGCTAAAACCGTCTCGGGGAAAATTTTCAAGTCAATGACAGAATGTTGTGGTGGAAAGTGCTTCAGTTTTCAGACCACCAAAGATGTCATTTATTTATTTTATGTTATTTAGAAGAGATAATACTTTTTCTTTTTGTTTCAATTGTGCTTTCAACTAGTTTAATCACAAGAACCGATTACCATCAGTGGATCTCCGGATAAAGGGCCCATAATCGAATTTTTTTAAAAATTCCTCTCGCAGTCCAATTATGATTTGCAACTTTTGCCAATCTCTGATTTCATTCTAGGATATATGAATCCTTGTATGAAACATTCATTTTGAATTTTGAAGTCTCTTCGCGGTCAAAACACAGTAATGAAAACTTCAATGACGTTTTTCTCACAACGCGATTTTTCGGTATGGGCCCTTTTTCCGGAACCCTCCTCAATTGGATTTGTGTCTACTTCAGCACGCAAAGTTTCTTCATTAAGTTTGTACAGCTCTCGATGATTCATGATGTACCAATTAGATGCACCACACATTTAAAAATGACTATATCTGGTAGAGTAAGCATTACTGCAAAATAATGAGCACGTACACAATTTCAGTAGCACCGTCAGCGCTTAAATCTTAATGACTAACTTTATGATCACCGGGAAATTGTTCATTTGTGGAATGAAAATGTTGTGTGGTGTGTTGTGGAATGTGTGGTAATCATAAAGTTGCTAAGGTCATCCTATAGTCGCTAACGTCATCTTAAAGTTTATTCATCCAAGTCTCTCATCCAAAATGTATGATATACTATTCTCTCTGATTTCTCTCTAAAATCTCAAAGTTTGTGGCTAACTGGAACAAATTTTGTTGCGTGGCGCCACATGCCGTGGCTGAATAAACATATACCTAGGAATCTTACAAATTTAAGGAGGCAAGTTGAGATAAGGCTATTATCACTGCATTTCACTGATTGTTATCAATCGATTGATTGTGCTGAGGCTTCCAGAACATGATTCAATATATAAGTCCAACTTGTTGTTCTCTGCCTGTATTCCATGAAGCAAAGAATAAAGAGTTTGTGTGTGAGGATCAATTGAGTGTATTTATTCCGAGTATCGTTTATCATAACAGATACAGAACTTTTAAAGGAAACATGCTAAGGAAACTAAGGGGGGGGATTAACGAGGCGGTGAGTTAATATATGAAACTAGTGAAACACCAAAGCCAAAAGGAAGCAATTAAATTATGAAACAGCAACCTTGGTATGTTAGTCACTTACATAATTTCAATACAAATTTACCGGGAGGACATGGAATGACTGCAAAATTCTTGTGCAGGGTGCTGGGACGAGGAATTATTCTCCAGAATCTACACCTGGCAAAAAATGAGACAAATTCAGGATAACCACTTCAGCAAATTACTTTTGTTTAGTTTTCGCTTTTTGTACTTACACTTTTCATGTAAAGAGAAAAGTATTTGTTGAGGTACGAAATTCCCAGGTCCTCATTAAAAACTTGTTCACTTGAGGTGAATCCAAGTATTATTTTAAACCATATCATATTTTTCCCTAGCAATCTTAAACCTGTAAAATGAAAGTAGACTAAAGAGTGTAGAATTTGGAGAATTTTATGTTAGACTAAAAAAAATAAGATCAAACTTGGAGCGGCTTGGATGTATTTGGGTAGTGGTGAGCCCAAAGTTCTCAAATCACAAAAAAGTATTTTGGAAGATCTCCACTGAGAAGATCATCTACCACAAAAATACGAACAGCAACTTCAAAATGAATTGTAAAATACAAGACTGAATTTAAACTCACCATTTTTTACGAGTTCAGCAAGGACAAAGTCTCTTAGCTTGGCATACGATTTCTCCAGATTATCATTGATGATCACCAAGTGAAAGTTGCCTGGAGTATCTCCTGAAATTAAAGACATAATATAATAATAAACATTGCAGAAAAGTTACATACAGCTAGTATCAAAACCAAGTTTGATTATTATGATTTAATGCTTTAGTAGTTTTAAAGTTATTAATAATTTTGTTAATTCTCCCTCTCTGCTTTTTCAAACAAATTTTCATGTTTCAGGATGATTTATCAGGCATGACCGTCTATTCCACATTTCCCTGAGAAACTGGATGGATAGATCGGTTGTGACTTGTATCTGTAGGATTGGAAAGGAATTTTCCCCATACATACATAAATTTCTTCCAATTATCTGTCTCGTCTTTTAAACCGAAAATCAAGAGTTTACTAACATCCTAAATCCTTGTTATGCCCCCTCAGCTGTTACAACACATTCCTATTCTTTTGTACCTTTTCCTCAATTCCAGCAACATTTATCTTAATATACGTAAATGTGCAGATCTTTCCAGTTGTATTATTTCCATTACAAATGTTTTTAGTCTAGTCTAGCCATCTTCAGTGTTTGAATCTCGTCAAAATCTTTAGGAGCCATCAAGGCCAGCATGTTGAAAATTTAGGAACTAAAATGGTTTTTTCTTCTTTTCTGAGGATTTAAGATTATCATTACGCTATCGCTTGGGATGTTAGAAATGGTTTAAGTTTTTTTATTCTTTTTTGCAACTTGTCTTATATTTTACCAATTTCACATTTTTTGATCACCACCAGAACATGAATCTATAACTTGCGCAAATGACCCATTTTTAGGAAACAACCAACATTTATTGCAGATGAAATTAACGTATTTGATGCTAAAAATAACCTGGCAGGTTCAGATTTGTTGCAACATAGCAGGATCGGATTTCTTCCAATCGTAATCGCACATTTGAGGAATATTTTTTATATCCACCCATGTTTATTTACACGCCTACTTTGGCTGCAGCTTAGTTATTTAGGTGCCAAAGCCAAATACTTAGGCACATACAGCGTATGGCACCTGTAGGATTTACACACTGGCTATCTTGTTACATTTTCATGTAAACTTTTGTCAGTGGGCTTGCGCTTGAATTTGTAAATAAATGAATAAATAATAAATAAAGTTGAAAAAATATTAATGTGCTGTGAGAGAGAAATTTTATTCAAGTATTTGAAGCTCTCTTAGAAAAGATTTTCCATATTTTTTATTAGCTCATTGGTCACCAAAAAATATGAAACAATCTATTAATTAAAGCTCACCATATTCAATTTCTTCCTGTGCAACAGCTAATCGTCTTTGGAGGCTGTCCTCAGTTTCTGTCCCTCGCTTACGGAGGCGGTCTTCGAGTTCTTTCAGTGACGGCGGTTTTATGAATACAAGAATAGGATCCATCATATTACTGCGTTGCTTTACTTGTTTAACACCCTGCATGTCGATGTCAAGCACGCAAATCTTGCCACTTTTCCAGACACTTTCAACAGCTGCTAAACTATTTAACAGATAAAAAGGTAGTGAATGAATAGCCGCATAATAACCAAATAGGACATCAATTCAGTAGTTGAATTTCGGAGAGTCAATGAACTTCCAATTATTTTCTCACTGAACTAACAATGGCATTACAACTTTTGGCGTCAGGATTTTTTCTCCGTTACTTTATTAAAGGTCAGACTAAGACAGGGACCACAGGAATGAAAAGGAGACAAACCTTAAGGAGCCCCTTCTAACTGCTCTTGGGAGATAAAGGGTAATCTTGATTTTAGAGGTCGTATTTCATTCAGGCAAAAATTTGGAAATTATTCCACCAAAATCAGAAAGTACAAAAAAATTTACCCTGAACTGACACCGAAAATTCTATTCCTGCCTAAATTACAGATCTGTGGAAGGAAAACAGACTTCAGATTGTTGACTTCATTGGGTGGGCTGCAAAAAAATTTGCAAAATTTCTTTAAAATGATGAGACCTCCAGTGTTTGAAACTCACCTTAGAATTTCAGGAGCCATGTGGCCCATCAAGCTCAATTTTTAGGGGCCATTGAAGATTTTTTGAGGGCCAAATCGACTTTTTGCCTAAACATCATGGCGCATTTTGAGAAAAGTCAGACGCAAGATGTTTAAGTTACAGAACTAGTAGCTGTAACTTGTAACTTTCGAAAAATCACCAGACAGAAAAATTAGGATTTTTTTTTGTGGGGGGGGGGGGCATTTTTGGGGGCCACGTTGGTGCAGAGCCTTCATTTTTTAAGCGCTATGACCGATTTTTTAGGAGAATTTGGCGCGATGGCGCCTGTGAACACTGGACCTACTTGCACTTTACAGCATTTTAAATTACTAATACCTTTTTCCGATTCAAGCTCCAGCAACCTCAGCATGACTTCTTCAATAACATGAAGGTAAGTTTTAACATTCCTAAAGAATGGCGCTTTCAGCTAATCTAGGCTCCAGCATTCTCAGAAAAATATCTGCAATGACATGCAAATGAGTCTTAACATTTCAGAGCTTTTCTTTTCTGATGCAAGTGTTCTTGCGCCTAAACTTATATTTTTTTCCAATTTCATGGCAAAATCTGATCTTCTTAAAATATTTTAAGTGAGTAGATTTTGCTGACCACCTCTTTTTTACCCGAATGATTATTTACACAGTAACACTAACCTTGTCCCATACAGATTGTTGGAGAACACAGCAGATTCAAGAAACTCTCCTCTCGCTATAGCGTTTTCCATCTCCTTTCGGTCTGTAAAATGATAATGTTTACCATCTATTTCACCGGGTCTTGGGCTGCGGCTGGTATGTGAAACAGAAAACCCAAATTTGTCAGGGTAGTCATCGAAAAGCCGCCGCAGCAGAGTTGACTTTCCACTGCCAGAGGGTCCACACATGACAAGCACTTTTGGACCGTGTCGAACCATTGCTTTGAGGTAACCTGCGGAGAAATATCAATCTGTAGAACTCAACATTACAGAAGCAAAACTGACGGTGAGTATCATGTTGGGTTGCCAAAAACAAATACTTTGAGCAAAATCATAGAATAAGAGGTCAAAGTATGATTTACCCCAACCAGAATCACTCATCAGATTAACACAAGTATGAACGAGTGAAAAAATGAATGAATGATTAATTGAAAAAAAAAGACCAGAAAGAAAAAAAACGAAGCACTGACCCCACTCTCCCTAAGCGCAAGCTTGTAGGGAGAGCGGTAAATTACAAAAACAAGACAAAAAAGGAGGAGAAAATAAACCAAGAATAACAATAATGGATAAAAATGAAAAATTAAGAATCAGAGTCTGACTAATCCTGCTTGGTAACAATTACAACACTGATTTAATTCGCACAAGAACAGAAGTGGGATCTCTGTTGATTGTCTCTAAATAGGATTTGAATATTCTCTCGAAACATGGGGAACCAGCTCTGATTTCCATATCGTGGCTAGAAAGAAACACTGGGCTAACGATATAGGATCCAGTGTACTTATCAAAGAAGAAAGGACAAAGTTAAAAAAATCCACTTCTCTGATGGCCGACTGGAAATTTATACAGAATATTTTGATTGTATGCTGTTTTACAGACCTTTCAATTTTGAGGAAATACTTACAGATTTATCACTATCAAAGACATGTAGGAGGTGCCTAGGGCAAAATAGCTGGAATCATTTCTTTAACAGTCATAGCCAAAATAACTTTCAGTGCAGAATTTAGAGTTCAAATTAAGGAATCAAGGTATGCTAATCTGCAGAGATCTAAACACCTACTGCGTTACCACCAATATTAATGGACTCAAATACTGATAAACAGTGAAAGTAAAGAGGCTCTTTCCTCTATTACTTAAAACTTGATGTTTATCAGAACCTTGAACCTATTTGTTAATGAATGGGATAATAACAACAGAAAGTGAAAGAAACCCACAGTTCAAAGGTTTCATTTCATAATAATAGGATTTAGATATGATGAAACCTTACAGGAAGATTGGTTGCAATGAGTCTAGGTGCACATAGTTCCCAAAGTCAGTCTCAATCTAATCCTACTGTTAGCTCAATCAGATGAGAAGAGCAATTGCTCAAGACTCTAGCGACTGACTTTTCCTATTACCGTACTCGTTTCGATTCATGAAATGTTCGCAGAAAATTCTTCTGGGATACTTTCAGATAGCAACCTTGCTACAAGTAGCAGGAAAGTTTAGATAGCCAGTCACATACCTTAGTGAACGAATTAGGGGAAAAAACATAGAATAAACAGGAGCTTACCTGAATATTGATTACAAAAATACCACAAGGTTAATCTGGGAGGGAAAAATATGACTGTTTCGATAAAGTGACTGAAGATAAGAGACCTTATAATTAGTTGCAGAAAGGAATCCTTAACATTACCACCGGCTATTTCGCAATATCCACTAAAAAACAAATTCACCGCAGACGTTTCACAGATCACAAAGAATTCGCGATTTCACGGCCCAAAAATCCAAATTCCACTTTAGTTATTTTTTCAGGTTAGAACTTAGATGACAAACTTTGAAAGTTCCGAAAGTTCTGGTTCGTATCTCACTTATTCCCTGTTGATGGTGGTTCAAATTTTTGTTTCTTTCCAGTTCCTTGTTTATTTACATTTCGTCAGTGATAAGAAATATTTTGAGGTTATACGTTGATTTTGGATTTGGTTGACTTGCCAAATGCCAAACGAAATAAAAAATTTGTGCTACGACCTGCTGGCTTCGAAAATCATTGAAAATTCTGTCACATGCAACATCTTTAGAAATAATTTAGCAGAATAATATTTACATTCTTAAATTTGCATTTTTATCGGATGTCAAGCTAATAATGTGTTGAAGTGCTCAGTGCTCAGAAGTGTGTCCTAGCGTCAATGAAGATCTCACTAATGTCACTCATTCTTCAATTTACCGCTTTCCATTAAATGCAGTCGCAGCAAGTGAAATCTTCTTACTTTTTCCTAATTTTATTTATCCTCCTGGTCCTAGCAACTCCATTACAAAACGGTAAGTTGAAGTACCTTTTTATTCTACATCATAAGCAACCGTTCCATTCTTACTTAGTGTGCTTCAATTTAAGAAGTGGCCTCATATAGAATAAAGCAATTCCCCGCTCAGGTCATTTTTCTGTCCAGTAGAACATTCTGCCCCAATAATGGGGATACAATGCCATTTCTACCCCTACCCCACCAAGAGTGTTGATCAAGAATAACCAATTACAGTTGCGAGCAGGGAAGGGAACAAGGTATGTCTGGAGATCAGTGGTGCGCAATGGGTGCAGACACCAGCTCCAAACCCCTGCATCCCTTATTTTTCTTCTCTTATCACCTGCCAAGAATCTACTGAAAGACAATATTGATCACCCCTTTAATAACTCTCCTTTAACTTTTCATCTGATTGACGCCGACAAAAGTTAAACAAAAAGTTAGAGCAAATTCCTCCAACTGACATTAGCCAATGCAGTATGTTTATAGGTAGGAAGCTGACTGAATGCCAATGTTTGATGGTTTCACACAACAACAGTATAATTGGATCAAATTTTTTCATCCGCCATTATCAGATAGAAATTTGAACTGTTTGAATTGGGTGTAGCTCTCTTATTCAGTTTCTCTCATCATTATTAAATGTATGATCTAGTGACTGAATAAAATAGCACCAGTGCCATTTTCACTATGACAAACTTTATTCTGATTTCAGAGGAAGAACACAATGAAGCGAAAGAAAAAATAGAGAAATATAAAGAAAAAGTAGATAGAGGCCCAAGTGCAAAGGTAAGTTTTGCTACTTAACTATTACGCTGAGCTGCACACTAATATGTATTTCCTAAGAGCATATATTTCCTAAGTATGTGACAATTCATCTAACTTTCCAAGCATTTTAACAACACAGCAGGAATTTTAAAATTTTAAAAAATGTCTGGCTTCCTGACCTACTGGCTGCCCTCAGCAGCTAAAGTGTTTAAGCACTAAAATAAAGTGAAGTGAACATCCTCAACTGAGGTAATCGACCGGAACGCTGGACTTGTCGTAGCCTTACTCTGTCCATACTTTCAGCTGATGAAAAGATGAGCTTTCAAAGAACATAAAATATAATTAGAGGCTGCAAAATATTTTCATTGACACATTATTCATTTTATTCAGCCATTTATGTATTGAATTTTCATCCGTATCCTTATTGGTATTTTTTTAATGGATAGACAGCTATTTTTTTATTTTTATTTATTTATGTATCAATTCTGCAAGTTGATTTATTTGGTATTACTTTTTTCAATCTCCTTAAATTTTCTAAGTCCTGCATTTTAAGACAAAAAATCTAAATACTTTTTTGAATACATACTTTAATTTATCTATAGCTGATTTTTTCTTTTTTTCATAGTATGCCGACACATGCTCTGATTCGTCTAATTTGGATTGTTCCAAGCTGAGGGATCCATGCATCAAATGTACTTTCAATGAAACATGCATATATGGAAGTGATCTCAATGTATCCTGCGAGGCTCTAACTCGATGTAATGTAAGCACTGCACGAAGACCTCATATCCCAGCATGCATATTCTGACCATTTCTACCAAAAGATCTGGATGGAAGGGGGTGTCTTAGAATCCAAATTTGTATTCAACTGGTCATGTAAATCTTGTAAAAATATCACGTCAATAAGAACCCTTTTTTTCAAGTGGCTAAGTAGTTAGACTTTATTTTGCCATTAGGAACTACAATATCTGGATTGTCCACAGAAACAGGAATGTGCACAAGAAAACAAATGGGGCATACGTTGCTTCTAAACTGAGCCAGGATTTCTAGTTCCCAATTGCAAAATGAAGTCCAATTGCTGGTAACAGAAATGTGTGTTTTAAATTGTTGATATTTATACTAATTAGCTGCCATGAAATACTTGTCAACATTGGCTCTAGCATCAAAATTCTACCCTGCAAATCTATGAAAATATTGCCTTTTGAGTAATATAGTGGGTGATTTTGACCATCCCTTTATTTCCATTATTCCCTCTCATGATTTCAACAAACCCAAAGTTCTCAAAAAAATTAATGAGGCATGGGTTTGCTTTATTTGCTTAACAATTATCCCTGACATGTCCAAGAAGTAATTATGATAGGCGCCAATTTATTGTATGGTTCTATGTATTTTGTATTCAAACATTTTTTAAACACAATTTTTTAATTCTATGTAAGTATTTTGTCTTTATACCGTAATGATTCTGCCAACATTGAAGAGCATTTTGACCAATATCACTACTTCTTTTATTTCTCTAAGAGTATCTGCCTGCCTAATACTGTGTAGCAGTGCAATATGTTAAATTAATCTGTCCTCCATCTCAACGTCTGCTTTATTTGTGTTTAAAGGGACCCACAAAGTTTGAGCGATCAATGAATTGCCGGTATTGCTACCAAACACCTCATTGGCAGCACAAATGTGTCTTGAAAGGAGGCTGCGATTCTGTGCGTTCACCACTACTTTACTACAGGTAGGAATCATTTAGATGTCAATCTTTCAAGTTCTCCTACTCAGGAGTTGATTTCTATTATTGCTAATGGATGGAACATGGAGGAAAACATGTTACATAATGGTGGTATACACAGCCTCATGTTTCATATTTATGGCTAAACTCGAAAACTATTTACCTTGATTTACGATGTTATGGAGTTCCTATGATACTTAATTTTTTAATTGTCGAATAATCTTTCAAAATTTCTGCCATTGTTTTACTCTCTTTGGAAAAATACCTAAGAAATTTTAGGCAGTACAGTTAAAGAGCTTGGAGGACAAGGGGCATAAGTGCAGTTTTTGTGATTTCGAGAGATACATATTTGACATGATACAAGTTTCGAAAGTTCATGGATCCTTATGGTGAAAAGAAAGTTCAGACTGCCTTTTTAAGGCTTGAAAATTGGAATTTGGAAGCGATTTTTTCACAGAATATGCACTAACACTAGTTTCTTTTAAAATCTTTTATAACTCAATTTGTTCAAAAACTGCACTTATGCGCCTTGTCCTCCAAGCCCCTCAGTTGGTCTCTTCTGAAAAACAAAGAGATGTTTTTGAGAGAAATCAGTAGCCATGAAGCCATGCCACTTAGCCACTGATTTTGGGAGTGTAGAATTTCTCCATCACTTTCTACAGACTTAAAAAATGAAGCAAGAGGTAGTATTTTTATTTTTCAATCAATTTTGAGGTACAGCTTTTTAGTTTTTTGGTCACTCTCATTGTGGCACTTGGTATTGGTTTCTTTTCCCTCCTTTTTGGAATTGAGATTTTAAACTTGTTGAAGTTTAAGTATGTAAGTAATTATATGTGTAATTTAACTGCCAGTGGTATTAAAGAATTAAGGCTTACGAGAATAATCAATTCAAAATGGATGGATGAGATTTGAATTTTCTCCGCTGTTTTTCAGAACTAATTGCACGGTAAATAGCGACGTACTTTGCCTTGGAAAACGAACATTTCTGAAGAATATTCGCTGCAATTGGACAGGAGGGTATCGATGGTCAAAAGCTTTCTTACTCAGCATTACCTTAGGTGGATTTGGCGCAGATAGGTAAGCTTCATGAGCTCAGTAATCTGTTCTAAACCAATGCTTAATAAGATGCAATTAAGCAAAAATAATCCTCCTGGATTCAGAGTGAAGAAAGAAAAGTGTGCACACTGGTAACATTACAATATATCGATGGTGAAACTGCAGGAATGCGTATATCGGTTTGCAGCGTTGCAGACTTCCTGTCATACTTTATTTTTCATATGGAAAACCACTTAACATCATTTATTGAGCACTTCGGATATTTTTCTTCTCTATGGGAAGAATATTCTGTGAAAATTTCAAGCCACAATGTTGCTTCGGTTTCCTTTTAAAAAAAAAATAGGAGCAGAGATTTTCAAACACCGCAACCGATATACGCACTTTTGCAGTTTCACCATCGATATGTCACTCATCAATTAAATATAAGTGTGATAGGTTCATAGCCTTCTTATTGTTCAGTAGGTCCTCTTATCTCACTCCCCCCTCTCCCACTTCTCAAATTTGTTATTATGTCAACTTTTTACTACTTCATTTTTTTTCCCTTTTAAAACCATCCTTCGTTTTTGCAGAAAATAAGCGATGTTGACATCTATTTGCACCTTTCTCCCTATTTTCAAAATTGGTCCTCACTGCTTTCCCGATTTTGAGTGCATTTGTGCATCCCACAGGATGTGCAATCAAGAAGTTTCTAGACCCATAGATTGGAGTAAAAAAGTGAGAATCTAACCCTAAAAAATTTTAAAAACCCAGATAACTAGCAAAGAAGTCATTTGCTGACTGACCACTACGGTATTCAAAATGGAAAGTCTTTCATCGATGTATTGCAATTAAGTTTCATCTCCCAACCATTTCATATTACAAAGTCTTGATAAATTTTATGTTCTTTGTTCCTAAGAATTAAATCAATTTTTTCCAAAATAGAAAAACATCAAGGAATTAACTGTAGAAAATTTTATCTGAATCGTTTTCTTTCAACGTAACACAAAAAATTTGACAGCCTTCCTCCTCCCTCCCCCCCCCCCCCCGGAAGTGGTGACTTTGAATCCCTGCATTATTTTCAGCAGATGCGCTATGAAGTAATCCTGACATAAAAGCGGAGGGAAGGAGCTTTTGAAATAATTGAACTTCAACCTTAACGATCAAATCAAATTTAATTGTCTAGTTTGTGTTTCTTTTTTCTATAATTGTGTTGGGTGTACGCTCAAAAAGTACAAAAAATACTCCTGACACCTAACTTACAATTAATTTCATGATTAGGAAGTCAGCATTTATTAATGCCCCATGCCAAGAGAGCTCTAGTAAAAAAAAACTGCCTTTCATATAGTTCATCTGTGGGGAGAAAGGGGGTGATCCACTCAGCCTCCTCCTTGGCCACATGATATTGTTTTTCCGGCATTAAGTCGGTGCTCTGTTGAAGGTCCTTAGTTCAAATCTGGTACCAGGAAAAATTGCAACAGTGCACTGACGCGCCCCTGAAAAATACACTGAAATGATAATGGCGCGTTAACTCAAACTTCTTTAAAGAGGTTTGAAACACTAAAACTAATATGATTGCCAAGCAACTACCAATCTCAAAAAAACATCAAAAATGAAATTCAAGTTCCCAATTTGTTTTCCTTTTGACCAAATGTTTTATTTTTTTATTTTTTCTGTCTGAATGGGACCAAACTTTTTGCACAAGTTCTAATTTTAATGTTTAAAACGTTGGTAAGAACTCAATTTTGACAACTATTTTCTTGGATTGAATCCGAGAAAAAAGTTGTCACAAGTGATTCCTTTGAAACGTTTTAAATTTGTAAAGGTATGCGGTAGGACTATATTCTCTCGGTGTAAATTATTATAATGCTTTGATTTTACTTTCAGGTTTTACCTTGGGCATTGGCAAGATGGAGTTGGAAAACTATTCAGTTTTGGCGGTTTGGGTGTCTGGACTCTTATTGATGTGATATTAATTTCTATACATTATTTAGGTCCAGCCGATGGATCTCTTTATGTTTAAGTTTTACTTGTAATTGTACAGTTTTATAGAAATAAAGACAGGGTTTTTGTTACGAAGTTTATTTCACCGGAATCTTCCTTTCAGCCATTACTTTATGTTGCCAAGTTCAAAGCAATCAATACTTACATTCAGGTCAAAATGCATTCAGAATATGGAACATCAAACCCAGTGATCCCAAGCGTGCGGATTTATCCGTGCCGCACGAACATTCCCTGTACCGACACGGACCGCGTATGGACAAAACCCTTATGGGAAAACGCTTCCCTATCTTAAAATATCAGTACGCGTAACGTCACAGAATGACGCACAGCCAATAGCAGCATGGAGAGCAGCAAAGCGTACGGATCTCACACACGGAGCACCCGGGAACTACTAATCAAACCTCAAAATAAATTTGTTTAGGATAAGTTTCCTTACCCAGTCATTATTTCAAATGTTATTCAAGTACTAAATCACGCC